TACACCCCAACCATCTATAACCACCGCAGCGCGCCTTCGGGCGCAAAGCCCGCTACCGCGATTAGGTACTTAAATTTCATTGACCAATCCAAATAATACTTTCCTTTGCGGGAGTTACAGAAAAAGTTCATTTATGTGACCGTCTGATGGCTACAAGGAGCGCTAGCATTTCACATTGGAGAAGGAAATGGATTTTTTTGTAAAGTGACCATCTACTTGTTTGGTATTGGCTGCTCGTCGCCGACCGCTCGAAACTATTGGTTTTGTTTTATGTTACATAAATTGAATAACGCTGCTCGTCGCTCGGCCTTCGGCCAGCTCCTCGCAGCGGTAGACACATAAATTAGAGGTTCTCCCAACCTCCGCCACATCGTTGAATCTGTTTATAATTATAGTGATGTTATGATACATAAATCAAATAACGCTGCTCATCGCTCGGCAAGCAAGGAAAAGAAGAAAAGGGAAAGAGACCGACAACTTGAATCAAGCCTACCCAATGAGAAGCCGCAGAGGAACAGGCTTCCCCTCAGCTTGCCCTAAGCCCGTTGCTGTTTCTCAATGCTCTAACATCACGCCACTAATCGTTGATGTAACACTTCCCCTTCTCCTGAGTACGATTGTAAGCGTGTCACTGCACAGAGGTTGGCAGTCCGACAAACTCACTCAATATCACAAAAAACCCACTAGATTAGAATGCGAGGGGTTGGTTCAGAATGTTCAAGCTTTTGATTCACTCACTTTTTCCACTTTTGAACCCATTCAGCAAGTGATTCAAAATTCCCCCAGGTGAGCATACTTCCGCTTCTTGGAGGGCCAGCCACGTTCTAAATGAACGACCGATTGATGGGACCCTTGTCAAGTGCCAACATCGGCGGCTTTACACCTTTACGCGAAAGCTTGAGGGTGCTGGGGTGTCTGACTTTTCTGCTTAATCTTGATTTCGTGGCCTCCTAGTCATTGTGGCTTTGCTGTGTGCCTTGGATTTGCAAGAAAAACGAGCCCTAACGGTTCGAACAAGCGACAGACACATAGGATCGACCAGACGAAAGCTCAACAGAAACGGGAGAGCCGTCGAGCTGGAAACAAAAGGACATGGTGGAGGAACACGGGTTGAACCGGGGGGCAAACATGGCTAAACTTACCCACGCAAGAGCTTTGGTGGCTCGTAGGATAAGACCCGCTAACTACGTAGCGGGCATCTAGCCAACTGATGGTGTTGGCGCGCTATCAAAACGCGTCAAGAAACATCAACTAGTTTGAACTCTGGATGCTAGTGTTCAAATTCATACGAACGCGACTTAGGCAGAGTCCATGTCTTGTGAAGGGCCTCCAACCATACTCGCATGCATCGACTTCGACTGAAAGGTATGGAAAAAGACTGAAAACAAGAACCGTATGTTGTTCCAGCACGTCGAGACCGCAAGGAAATACTAAGTAACCCGCGCCAGGCTGCAAAGCGAAAATCCCTGATGGTATCTACCTTGGACCAACATAAATTGTTGCCCAGCGATTTCCTCAGTCACCTCTCCAATCGTGCCCGGCCTGGCGTTCGGTTTTTGAACGTAGCTAAGGACATGCTTAAGGATCCTCGCTTGAAGCATACTTGCATTCTTCCCGCCTGCCGCTGGCAGTTCGGGTACTTTGACATGGATGGCAAGCCAACCCCGTTTCCTCCAAACTCATCCGGATTCCTCTACTATCACCAACCCCAAGGCGCACCTCTGCTTTCTGGAGAAGTACGCTTTCGACTCACTCCAAATAACCTCCCTGAGAGTTTTAGCCAAGGCGAAGACTGTCTTATTCCACATGGAGACATCTGGAAGATTCCCCTCCTTTCTCTTCATAGTTATAAAACTCATCAGGATGTCTATCGACAGCTTCAGCTGGATGGTTTTGTCTCTGATGCATTACATTCAAAGCTCAAGACTGTCGCCAAGACTTGCCCCTGTCCTCGGCATAGCGCTGTCATTTTGCATTCACTGCACCAAGTATTCCCTGTAGACTTTGCATTAGCTCACATGAACCTCTTTGTGGTGGGCGACTCGACTTACCGAAGGGTTCTCTTACATTGCCCCTTTTTAACGCAAGTCATAGGCTACAAGAAGGACTCTCCATTCACCAGTGCGGATGACCTCTTTCTGGAAAAAAAATTGAGTCGAAACTGATTAGTGACTTTTTAGGTAAGGGTTTGGCGCGCTTTGAGCTTTCAAAGCTGCCTGAACACGCAGGAACCAAAACAGTGGTGATGCGCGTTGTGAAACTTGTGGGAGATCCGGGGCCTTACTTGGGGGAAGATCGGCCACAAGAGGGGGCACTGGTATTGCGACACAATCCTGCCGGCGGGCAACCAAGGGTTTTTCGTTTAAGGGTTGATCCCAGCTCATCCGAAAATGGCCCAAACGGCTATTCGCATCCTGATGCACTCCCTCTGCTTCTCGAAAATACCTTTCGGGGCGAGCATTCTACGCCGTAGCTATGCCTTGTCATGTGCTTGTGCAAGGTGGCCGATCTGGGCCTGCAACGATGCTACTTATCATTTGCCGCGGTTACAAAGACCACTGGGGATGCTACGTTTACTCCCTTGTTTGGCCTCTTCCTGACATAATCGCGGTTATCATTCTCAATGGACATATTTACTGAAGATCTACTACCTGTCCAACGTAATTTTATAACCCTTCAAAAGAACTCGGGATGCTTTCAGAGGCTTGAAACTGTGTAGCCCCACATAACAAGCAAGGTATGCACGAAATACCCAATCCCGCTGTTGTCGTCTCAAAATCAACGAGATTAGCACGCAGCGCAGCAGTGCCTTGTAAGCCAACTTCGTTTGTTTTGCGCATCAAGCAATGACGTGGGGGTGCCATCGGAAGATTAATCCCTTTGGTATCTGAGGGAGGGAGCGTGAAGATGGCCATGTTGGCGCATTGTTTTTGAAGGCGGTGGGAGACAAGTGAGATCAAAGCTGCGCTACAGGGCACGAAGCGGGTTTACTTTGTAAATATCTTTCGAACTAGGTTGGGTCGGTGTCAGACTTCCATTGAACCATCTGAGGGTAAGATATGCAATGCACCTTTGGCATGTAAATTGTAGGCTTGTACCCAAACATTCCTGAAAACCAAGGTTACGTTGACGCGCTGCTACGAGCCCATCCCCACCCAGAAAGGTTCAAGATGATGAAAGGAATACGTCCCTTATGACAGAACGACATACCTTGCTTTCTAGGCCCACAGCAAACCAACACACGCTGATGTGTTTCCTTCTTATATGTCGTCGTCAGC